TCAGCAGGAGCACAACATGGCCAGGCAGGCGGATTAGCTCTCAGGAAAATCACTTTCAGCCTTCACCAGACTAGGCCACAGAAACACTGGGATTGTCCGTAGCTGGGTATGGTCCCTTCCCTGTCTTCCCTTCCAGAATGGGGAGCAAAAGACATCAGGACAGCCACCTGGGGAAGGGGAGCAATGACATAAATCAAAATGCCTGAAATGAATATGGATAGGAGCATGCTTTATGCAAACATATGCAAATAGGAATGCAAATATACCATAGGGTGGGTAGGGCAAATGCAAATAAGGGCTCCAGAAAGTCCTGACAATGAGGCTCTCTTCAAAGAATGGGACCCAGGGATCCCCAGATATGTTCTTGCACAGAGCTTGGGTCTTCTTGCTCTATCAGAGTCCCAATTTCCCCACTCCCTCCCCATCTTCTGCTTGCATAATGTGGCCTGGGCTCCAGATCACTCAGGGGCCAGGGCCAGAGCACAGTATGGCCCAGATGCAGCATCCCACTGGAAAGGGTTCAGCTTTCCTCTACCTGCGCCAGGCTGCACTGCTAAATGCCTTCCATCTCCTAACCATTGTACCCCTCTGAATGGCTCGGAAGCGTCTGTAACTGCCCATTCCCCAGGACTGCAGTCTCTACTCCAAGTTTGTTTTGTCCCCCAAAGGGGGCAAAGAGAGCGGTCTGCCCATTGAAAAGATGGCCTTTTTCGTGGGTTCTCCCGTTGTTTCCAGAAATGCTCAGCATGCAAAAGATGTGCAATAACAGATAAATGATAGAATAAGTGAACATACAAACGCAAGTTCAAATGCAGGGTCACTTCTTCTGGGACCACTGCATGTCCCCTTCTGCTTCTTGCTCAGTTTTTTCCACAGCTGCCTGTGTATTGGAGCTGAAGTGTTTGTGCTCTTTCCTCATGTCCTCAACTGGTCTGAGCTTGCCATGCGCAGGCATGTGTCCTGGTCGTTGCCCTGGTCTGGCACCTTCAATGGAGGGCTCTCAAATGTTGCTTGACTCGATGAACACATACGCATGCGATTTGTAAGTGTCTGTCTGCTCCCTCTCCCCTTGTCAGAGTGCCTGGAGGGTAAGGTCAGGCTCGCTCGTCTGTAGAACTCAGAGCTTGGCACTCACTACACATGGGGTGGATGGATGGGTGATTGGGGACCTCGGGGATCCCTGACCTGCTGACATGTCTGTCTTTCTCATTAGACTCTGAGGGGTTGGACTCCCTGGATAAATAAAGGTCAAGTGAAGGGATGGAGAAGTGAATGAATGAATGAGTGAATACTGATTACTGTCAGGGATCTGAGGAGACTGTTTCCTGTTGTACAGTGTCATTGTCCTCAACTCAGGACACATGTGTCCCGTGTTCAGATCTGAGCTCCTCTCCCAATGTCTCCCCTGGGATCTGCTCCAGCCTGCAGGCCTTTGCTCCCACACCGGTCCTCACTCCAGCCTCACTCCCACAGTCTTGACCCTCCATCGTTCTTCCTGTGGCCTTGACTGGCTGTTTGACTCGGCCCCACAGCCTCTGGGTGACTTTTTCCTGCCTTCCTTTGAGTTTGCCAGGTCAAGTGCAGCTCTGGAGCCAGCCAGACTTTCTGGGCTTGAGTCTTCCTCCTGCCATCTGCCAGCGAGCAAAAAACAGAATCATCTCCAGGCTTCATTTTTGCATCTGTAAAATGGGAATGATACCAGCTGTTAAGAGCATTAAATAAGATTCCAAACTGACTCCCGGAATGGAGCCAGCTGCTTGGTCAAGTACTTGGCATGTGGGGCTTCCCTTCCTTCCCTGTCCTTGCTGCTGTCCCTGTAGCCCTATGTGGGGCCTAGGAGACCACCCCCCCCATGTTTTCTGGGGGCAGGAGTGGAGTCGTGGAGCTGCTTCAGGTAAAGCCCTCAGCCTGGATGGAAGCAGGGAATGAATAGAGACCATTAAACCAGAAAAGAGGATTCCTAAGAGAGAATCAGAACTGGGACCCACGTGTGAAGTGTTCCAAAGCAACAGTTAAAACCGAAATGAAAAACTAGAGGTTAAGTACAAGAAAGGACTTCCCAATAGTGGAGATTGAGGGAGAAGCACATTGGCTGAGGCAGAAGGCAAGGCTCTGCTGACTGAAGTTTAGGGGGCTTTGAGAAAAAACAAATAATTTGAATTTGTCTTCTGCTTCCAAGTGTTCAAAGTGTTTGCCTAATCCTCATCTTACTTCATCCCCATGAGAAGCCTTTAATGCTTGGCAACAATGTCATTTGTAAAATAGGTGGGACAAGCATTGAGATTCCCCTACCACCCAGGGCAGGAAGAAGGTTCTGAGAGGTCACAGGACTGGCCCAGGGCTGCCCAGAGGAGGGTCAGGGAACTGGGGTGAGAGCCTTCTTATGAGTGAGCCCAGGTGACTGGCTTTCTCTCACCCTTTTCATATTTTTTAAAGCTGAGGTTTAATGCTGATTTTTTTGTTTTGTTTTGTTTTGTTTAAGGAAAAAATGAGAAGTCGGGGGGTGGGGGGAGGTTTTCCCAATCCTGCGGAGTGCCTGCCGTGAGGCCTGAGTCTGGCCATTTACCTCTGGAGAGAAGTCGGTGGGTGGGGGGAGGTTTTCTCAATCCTGCGGAGTGCCGTGAGGCCTGAGTCTGGCCATTTACCTCTGGACCTGGGCTGGGACCAGTGTGGAGGCCATTAGGAAGGACTGTCTTCAAGGCAGGAAGGGAACGTCAGGGCAGGGAGTAGGGGTCTGGCTTCCGAGCTTCCATCAAAGGCAGATGCCTCTTTGACCCCATCTGGGCGGCCGTCCTTTCACCGCCTGTGCGGCCAGACCCTCACCCCACTCCCATCCTAGCCCGGCCCATCTCTGCCTGGCCCCAAACCTGCAAACAATGCTTGTTGACAATCCGTGGGGCCTAAACACTCGATAACAGTCCCCACCATGCCAGACATCCTAACAGCGGGCAGGGCTCTGTGCTGTGACAGGAAGATGCTTTGAATACATCATCCTGTCAACTGAGTTTATTATTCTTTCACTCAAGATAAACTGCAGCCGCCAACGAGAGGCTGTATAAATTCCAGGCTCAGAAGTCAAGCAGGCCCCACTCCTTGTTAAACACTCACTCACACACGCTCACACACACACATGCACATATACATAAATCCTGCCGAGAAAATACCACCCCCTCGGGCCCCCCAGGTCTCTCAGGGCCTCAGTAGCCACCATCACATGGGGTGGTCCCAGGAGCAGCTGCAGACATGGGAACCCAAGGCTTGAGCCTACCCTTGGTCCACTTTCCTGGCTAGGCCTGAGCAACCTCATCCTGGGGGCTGGGGAAGGTCTCCCCACAGGAGCCAGCTGTCCCCAGGTCAAGCCCAGCTTCTTGACACCTGGACTTCTGTCTGTCCAAGGCCATAGCACTGTGTGGGTGGCCAGAGCACCCACACGGCTATGTTAGGAAGGGGAGAGGCTTTCAGACTCCAGAGTGAAAAGCCAGGTTCTAAGAGAAAGTGGACCCCTATGAGGCCTTCAGAAGCATCCAGCACCCATCCTGGGGAGAAGGGCGCCATAGACTATCCCCCAACCTTGTGTGCGTGCACGCGCGCGCACGCGCGCGCACACACACACACACACACATAGAGAAAATGCTGAGGAATCCATATCACTTCTACAGGCATACAATACCAGTTCTTTCCTCCCAAGGCCCCTGGGGATTTGCAACTAGAAGGGAGGGTCCATTGGCTTCATTTCAGTCTGGACCTGTCTCATTTGTGGGCTTAGAATAAAAACAAAACAGAACAAAAAAACAAAAACCCATGTTAGATACAGGGACAAGAATAAGGGGGCAGCTGGACGCAGTGGGAAGGACAGGAGTTTCGGTGATGAACCTGGGTCTCACCCAGGTTCTCCAATCTTCAGTTTCCTCTTCCATAAAGCGGGAGAATCATTTCTCTCATGCCAGATTGTCATGAGGACTGGGGGCAAAGCTTGACACAGAGTTGGTGCCTGCATCAAGTTTCTCCATTTGCCATGCCCTCCTCCTATTCTCCACCAGGCCCAGGAGATAACAGCATCATCCTGTTCTGTGGATGAGGAAGCTAACACTCCAAACAGAGTCTAAGGCATCCCATATAAAAAACTGCCTAGCACTTTTGCTCCCCAGATAGTTCCATGCTCCCTCGCTTAGCTCCTTCAGGATTTGCTCAAATATCACCAAATCAAAAGCCTTCCCTGATCACCCCTTCTCCTGACTTACTTTCACCGCTTGGACTATTTTCTATTTACTCGCTTCTTAGTTTATTCTGTCTCTCCACTAGAATGTAAGCTCCCCAAGGGCAGGGACTTTGTCTTGCTTACTGCCATATCCCCAGCATCTAGAACAGTGTCAGGCACTTAATAAATATAAATTGAACGAATGAAAATAAAGTACTTAAAACTATGCAAAGTACATAGTAGGTATCTAACACATGTAATTATTATCGTCATTCACATCTCTCTACCTACAATGGACATGGTAAAGACCAGCTATGGGGCATAGCTCAACCCCCAAGGGTGGAGAAAGAAGGAAAGGATGCACTTCACAGGTTGAAGTCGGTTCACACAAGCTGTGTGACCTCGGGTAAGTGTGTCCACCTCTCTGAGTCTCACTTTCCTGTCCGATCGAATGGGAATGCCACACCTGTTCTGTGATTTGCAGTCGCCGGGAAGGGTATCCAGGTACTATGTCTCTGCTTTTGCTCTCAGCTCAGAAGCAGACAGGACCCAAGGACAGATGCCTGAGTGAGGTCACGACTTAAGGATCTAGTGTCATCCTGACGTGGGAGCAGAGTGGTCACCTGCTTAGGCAAGTCCTCCTGTTGATAAGTTGCCTTATCAACAGGAGGACGTGCTGGGATCTCCTGACAGGTGGAAAGATGCCTCCAGATTACCCCCCTTCCTGTCACTTTCTCCTCACACCCGCTTCTGTAGACTGAGGGAGGTGGGAGATTACTGCCAATCGGGTGCAGGCCCCACTACCCCTGCCCATCCTAGGGGGCTGCCTCAGGGACGTTTTGCCCTGGGGTCAGGAGCTTCTAGGGAGTGTTCAAGCTGATGGGTGTGGTCATGTTCTCCTTCTCCAGCCTCTCTTCTTGTATTCATATTACATAAATGAGTAAATGAATAAATAAATGAGGAAGTTTTCCAGAATTCACTCCCCAGCCCCAGGCCTCAGGCCGCATTGTGGAAAAAGGCAGCAGTTCACCAAGGAAGACACTTCTGAGTGCTGACTGTGTGCGGGTATGAGACAGCCAGTTCCTCCCCAAGGAGCTCACAGTCTAGTGGGGACACAACACAGACACTGCTTTTCAATCTGGCTTAACACTTGCGAAGGCAGATCTTTGCTCAAGTTGGGGAGCACAGAAGGGGCACATGGAGGAGGGCTCCTGGAAGAAGGTGGTAGCAGAGTGGAGTGTTAGATCCTGTATCAAAAGTGGCTATCAAACAAGGGAAAGGGTGAACCCAGCAGCGGAAACGGCTTGCACAGAGGTGTGGTGTGAAATAGCCTGCGATATGCTTGGAAGGGACCAAGGACTTGGGTAACTTGGGTTCAACACAGAGGGAAGTGGCTGGAGAGGAAGGTAGGCTCAGAGCTGGGACTTCGAGGAAATGGGTGACTTTGGTGCCTTAAGAAAGGGCAGAGTGTGATCAATCACACGCTTTAGCAAGGTCCTATGGCTGCAGAGTGGCAGAGGGATCTGAGGGCTGAGACTGGAGGCTTGTGTGACAGTCCAGGAGTGATGCTGGAGTCTGAGTGAGGGTAATGCTTGCTGGGATTCCAGCCCAGTCTCCACCTACTCGTCGACAGTACATATTCCTTTCCATCAGTTTAGAATCCAGGAAACTGAGGCCTGGAGAGAAGACATGGAGGTTCCGGAATAGCTGAGTGCCACATTCAGGGGGCAGTTGTGATCTCCCTCCTCTGAACTCAGAATGAAACTCTGCTGGGGCTGGGCCTTGTTCGGAGAAAGTTTCCCATAGGGCAGTCAGTTCCTCAGCTCTGTGGTTTTCCCTCAAGAGAAAGCTGAGTTCACTGAACTTAAGGGCAAATATATATTCTTGTCCTTCCTCTGCAGAGATAATAAAGTTAATGGGATTGTTTCCTGTGTGCAAGAATAGGGCTGTTAAGAAAACATTGTGGAGTGAAGGCTGTTTGCAAAGGCCAGGCGGACAGGCCAAATCTTTGCCACCAGGAGGAAGTAAAGGGTGTGTCTCCACGGGCAGGGGGCATGGTGCCACTGGTGCCTTGCTTTGCCCGAGCCTGCTGCGTGCCTATGCTGTGACTTCCCTCTGCCTCACTCGGCTCAGATTGCAGAGCCACCAGTTTCGGCTCCCTGGTCTCCAAGGTATAGGTTAGCTGGTTAGTTGGTTAGCTTTTGGCAAAACAGTTCATCCTGGTCCAAGCTGAACTTTAAAAATTGTATGGATCCCATCTCTCGTTGTAAATAGGGACACTGAGGTCTCAGGTCACACAGCCAGGTTATGGTAAGGCCTGGTACGAAAACTGAGGCATGAAGATAGGAAACGGCTTGCCTTGGTCGTAGAGCCAGCCGGTGTGTTGCAGTGTTGAGACCGAAGCTTGGGGAGGAGAAATGGCTTGCTCAGTCTCCCACAGCCTGCTGGTGGCAAAGCCTGGTGTTGATCCAGGTTCTCCACCCCCGGGACAGAGCTGGCTGATCCTATGTGTGTCCCCCCTCCCCCACCCTGCCAGCAGAGAGAAGCCTCAGAGGATCCCTGCAGTCCATCTCTGTTTGCTGAGCCTCAGTCATCCCTGACCGTGCCTCCAACTTCCCCCACCCTCTCAGCCCTTTTAGATCTTATCGGCCCAGGCCCCATGAGGGATCCTCACCTGGACCATCCTCAAAACGCATCCGTGTGCACAGGTGCGCTGGGCTGTGGGGGGCTGGGTATTCCGGCAGCAGGTAGACAATGGCTGGGTTAAGAGGGTCATCTTCTTTTCGCACCTCCTGATTCCTCAAGTTTGTAAATCATTATCCCAGGCCACACAAAGCAGGCAGTGAGCAGGCCTTGTCACTGCCCCGTGACATGGTAGGCAGGGGCTACTAGGGTCTTGAGTGGCCAGGTGGCAGCTCCTGGCCCTGCGCCCCCTCCCGGTCACCGGGATTGAATTACCCATCTAATCCCTGCTCCTCTGTCCACTCTCTTTGTGCCCATTGTAATTTATAATCGAGGGGCATGATGCAACCTGCTAATTACATTGCTCGATTTTGAACACATCCCAGCTTCTCTGACTCAGGCGACAGAGGGAGGAGGGAGCAGCTGGCTCTGCTTTGTGGCTTATCAGGGCTGGGTTATTCCGCTCACACCGGCTCACACCCGCTCACGCCTCCCCAGCCTCTGCCTTTGTTAACCAGGGTTTGCATCACCTCCTGCTTTCCATTTCTCCGGAATTTTTTTAACGGCCCTTTTTATGAGTTACTCGATCTTGTTGGCTAATGACTGATTGTGGGGCAGTGACAGGGGATCGCTTTGTGTTTCTATTAAATGTTACATGATTGCAATTATGAGTTAACAAGGGACAGCTAATATAAAAATAATCTATTTTGCAGCCCGGGGCAGACATGAGACTCGCTGCCTGGTTCCCAGGCTGAATAATTCCGAACCCTGGGTACCACCAGCTGGACAAGAAATTAACCAAGGGAAGGATGGACCTTCCCAGGCCCTGGGGCTGCGGCTGGTGGGGAGAAAAGGGCTCTCTCCAAATCTCTTCGGAGGCCTCCCCACCCATCCAGAGAGCTTGGGTTCCCATAGGCAGGTGTCTGCATTATTACAGTTTCTTCTCAGCCCTTCCTGTGCCCCCCATTATCCCCACAGCCCCTTCTCCAAGCAGAGTGAGCTTCTAAATATGACGCTGGCTATGCCATTTGCCCTGTTCAAGTTCCCTTCAGGAATCACCAATATTTCTCTATATCACTGGACCCTATTTCAACTCTGCTTTCCAATAGCCATTCCCATGGCATGCCTGTCCTCACCAAACCTTGTTTGGAGTTCCCTGGGTTCTGGAAGATGAGTGACCCCACAACTTGGGCGGAAGGAGGGTCTGAGAATTGGAAGGGGTGATGAGCACTGAGGGCCTGCAGCCAGCTATCACTTTCCTGTGGAGCCTCAGACTTACCCAGTGGTACCCAGGACAATAGGGCATGAAAATGGAGAGACTCTGGCCTCTTCATCACTGTTCCCAGGAGGCAAAGAGCAGGCTGTTGACTTGGGAATGTCCCCTGGGGGCTGCTGTAGTGTGCCTCAAGGATGGACACTGAGCCTTTGCAGGTGCTGGATACCCAGAGGTGCTTAATAAATACTCAGTGATCCGAAGGGAAGCAAAGAGGTATAGATGATGCCCACGACCTGTCAAGAAGACGGATCCCGGAACACAACCTGTTCACATGTCGCACAGCTGCAGAGTAGCAGGACTGGAATCCCTTCTGTACGACCAGGACCTGGCAAAGCCTGTCGCTGAGGGGTGTCTGGTGGTAGAGGAACAGCCCCTCCTTGGAACTCAGTTACCTTAACATTCGAGCTTGCATGCCAATATTCTGTCTGCATTCTAGCTAAGCAATTTACACTTCTGCCTCCAGTAACCCCCTCCCCCACACCCCACTTAGAGTGTGAGCTACTTCAGTAGGGACTAACTTTCGCTGGCTCGGCTTTTAATGATGCTCAGTAAATGCTGAACGGATTAGCAACTGAAACTACATGGTCTCCAGGCCCCTACTCTATGCCAGGCTGCTTAACAGGGGCTTCTTGTTACCCGGATTCTCTCACTAATGCTGCAGGGCAGACATCTTAACCCTTGTTTTACAGTGAAGGCAACTGAGGCTGAGAGAGTTTACAGCCCGTGAGGGTGGGGCTGGGCTGTCCATACGTGGGCTTGGAACCAGAAGCCGAGTGCAGGCTGAGGGCCCCACTTCCCGGCTTTTCATGGCCTGGGTGGCAGCAGGCAGGCAACCACAGGCTGGGCGACAGAAGGAACACAGTCTGAGGACACCACTGAAGTGCATCTTCAAACACTGCGGCCGCTCTGTGGGCGCCGGGAAACCACAGCTGCCCACATCTCAGTGGCCTGGGCCAGCCCGGGGCAGGAGGCCGAGCTGGCAGTGGCATGAGCAGCAGGCAGGCTGAGAGTGGGCAGGGCTTTGCCAATCTCACCCACAGAAAGCCTCAGCCAGTGGCAGAGCTGGCTACATAATTTGCGAGGCCCTTATTCAAAAACTATTAAGTGTTTCAAGCTGGCAAGGGCAGAGCATTTAAACAAGCTTGGGCCCTTGTAAACGTGGCCTTTCAGGTCACACCTCCGTGGAGCTGGACCAGGTCAGTAGGTTGCTTGCCTGGCTCCCAGCTCAGGGTTCTTCTCGGCATAACACTCGGGTAATAGACACTGTATAAAAGGTCTGGCCCCTCATCACCCAGGCAGGGCCTGTGTAACCCACAGCGCAGGGCATGGCAGGCCTGGCAGAGGGGCAGGGCATCAAGAAGACTCACGCTATGGATCTTTTTAGAGGCTGTGTGGACAAGGCCAGGGCAGCACCCTGCTGGGATGGCAGGCAAACAGGAGTTCAGGGTTGGGCCTGACTGGTGACTCACAGCTGCCTGGATGCTCAGAGACGTTATGCTGCTGCTTCTACTGAAAGTTGGAGAGAAATCCGGGCCCTGCCAAAGGGCTAGAGTCCCTGGCTGGATCACTCAAGCCTGTGGGATCGCACAAGGTCCTGTGGATGCCCAGAACTGGAAAGGCAGCCTGGCCTCCAGAGGCAGGTACGCCATCACCAGAGAGGAATTGGGAGACTGCTTTGAGCCTGCATTCCCTAGGCTGACTCTTGGCAACAAGGATGACTATGTCTACTGGCTCATGGCCCTCCTCTGTACCTGCATGTGGTACTCCTGAGGGGCTGGCCTGAGCGCCCATTTGTGTTTTCCACCATGGTACTAAGCATAAGGCCCTGCACACAGTGGGTACTCAGGAAATACTGGTTGAATGAACACATGAAATAATGAGAGAACACCTATTTCCGCCTTATTTATCTTAGGGATGACATTTAGCTTGGAGGTCAAAGAAAGGAAGTATGCCTTCTTGTTTAGCAAAATAGGGGGGCACACTCCATCCACATGAGTTGTGGTGTACACATTTGCATATACGTGTGTCCATAGAGGAACACATGTGTGGGGAATGTACATGAATAGGGTGGACTTGTGTATAGAGGGTGAGGATACAGATATGTATGCAGGTATGTGGGGGGTACTTTGTATCTACACGAGGTGTGCACACCGGTGAGTGGAGACACATGCCAAAAATGCATGTGTCCATGTGCACGTTTGTGGGGGAGGCGCCACTTGGTCTGCATGCACAAGGGCACACGGATGTGGACATGTGCCACAGCTACCCAGCAATCCTCTGCTCTATCTCCCAGCCGGCCACCCTGCCCCATCCAGGAGCCAGACATGCTTGGGCAATGCTTGTGGCATGGGAGAGGTGGAGAAGTGTGGTGGCTGAGCATGTGGGCTGCCTGGTTAAGTCCAGACTCTGCCCTTCACTCGCTGTGCATTCTTGGGCAAGTTACATAAACTCTCCTTGCCTCAGTTTTGTTGTCTGTAAACGGGGCTCACAACAGCACTTCATAAGATATAAAGCATGAAAAATGGTGCCGGATACTAGCAAGGGCCAAACAAAGGTTAATTATTAATAGGTCTTGGCTGGGGACTGCTGCTGCAGTCGGTGCCAGGGCCAGCACTGAGAACAGAGCTGAAGCCTATGTCCATCCATCTCCACGAACGTGATGGGAAAGCTCCAAACATGGGCTGCCCTGGCCAGAGAGGTGAGAAGAGGGGCGATATAGCTGAGGGCTGCAGGGGTCTGGCACCCGACAGCACCTTTCAGACTCCTCAGAGGGCCCTGGGGAGGCTGCAGAGGAATCTGCAGATCTGGAACACACACGTGGTGGAGCATGGAAAGGTAGGGGCAGCTCTTTAAAAAACAGTCCTCCTGGGACAGCAGAGCTGGGCCCCAGAGGCCACCCACCCGCTGCAGGGACTGGCAGCCGCTAGGGGCAAGGTAAATCACCCGCAATTGCCCTCTGGAATGTGGTCGCTGTGAAAGGTAACACGTATGTTACTGCTACATAAACACAGTTAAACTATTTACGATGGTTTCGGCCTGGCGGCCCCAGGAAGCCATGTGGGGGTGGTGGGACTGCCTCAGCCCTGTGGGCCATGATGGTTGGGAGAGGGAGTTGTTTTGGCAAGAGCCAGATCCTTGGCGCATTCCCACTGCCACTCAACCCAAGGGCCTGGCATGTCCCCAGGGGAGGCATCTCCTTGCAGGACAGAAAAATGTGTTTTGAAATTATGAAAGCAGAAGAACAACAAAATCTCCTCTTTGTTTTATTTTAGCTCTTGTCCTTTGGCCCAGTTTATGGAGGATGCTGTTTTTAAGTAAGCAAGAGCTTTTGCCCCCGAATCCCAAGAATGCACTGGGGCGGATCTCCACGTAGGATCCCAGAGGAGGAACTGAAGGAGAAGACCCCACCCTACTCCCGAGGAGCCCCCAGTGTGTGAGAAAGAACCAGCCCCTGCCCTCAGTATGGAGGTGGAGACACAGCTCCTGTCCTCAACCCCCACCCCCAGCCTTGCCCAGGCTAAGAGTGGAGGCACAGTTCTGTCCCCCAGAACGGGGAGACCCTCCCTATTTGGGAGGTGGACTGTACCACCTGGGACTCAGAGCCTTAGGCAGAAGCAGGAAACAGGCTGCTCTTGCGGGGCAAAGGCCCTAAGGGTGGCCATGGCTATTTAGACCTCCCCAAGGGAAACACGGCTGAGTACTCACCTGAATTCATTTCAGAGCAGGGCCCTCTACCCCTCGAACCTTGGTCCATTTTTTTCTCTAGATGTTTAAAAGCTGCCAGAGTCACCAAAGAGATCTCTGAGGCTGATAAACGCTAGAAGGTATGGAGGTCCTGCTCACCTCTGAGGTTTCTCCCTCGCCCCTCCAGGTCTCTCTCTCCTCCCCTGACTCAGGGTGCCCCTTCACCCACTTCCTGAGTTTGCTCTTGCAATTCCTGTACCTGGAGTGCACCCCTTGCCCCTTCCTGCTCATCCCCACCCTGAGCACTTGCAGAACAGACCTTCCTGAGCAGCTCAGGCAACAAGGCCTTCTCTCTCCTGTTGTCCACACAGCCCAATCTAGGGCATCCAGATTAATCTTCTTGCCCTTCAGCTCCTCCA